AAATTTGGAAAAGGCTGAAACGTAAAGATCTTTTGAAAACCGTACATCGGAAATTTGATAAGATCGCAATACTTTCCTTACCTAGTAGCAGTGGGAAAGTAATAAGATATTTGTTATAAAAATCTATTTTGTAAATATGTATATAAAAAATAGTTCCGAGTAATTTTAAGAATTATTTTGATATCTTATGTAACACTTCACATCCATTAAAAGATGTTTCCACTTAGAATCTGTCCCTGAGAAATGATTTGAACTAATTGTTCTGAGAAATATGTAATGTGAAGGAATGCCTTTGACTCCTTATAATAATATTTCTGTAAAATACAAAATTTATAAAATCCCTATATAACACTTTTTTCTGGAGTATTAAATAAAAATTGTTTAGACTAATTAAAATTGACAAATTTCAATAACACATAATAAATAATAAAATAAATAACTTACCAGGGAGGTAAGTGAAAATTATGTGATGCGTGCACCGAACTGAATTTTTTTTTTTTAACTTACTCATCTGAATGAAAGTAACAGTTAAATGAAAACGTTTACTTATCTCTCCTTATCGCTTTTGCAAATAGGCGATTTATCAAATAGTTGTTTTTGTTGAATATTTTGGTGGAATAGGTAAGATGTTAATTAGCATAATTTTTTCAGTTTTCCAACTATATATTATAAATATACAATTAGACATTTATTTCCGCGAATTAATTTGTATAAAAAAATTGTTTTTCCATTTTTCTCCTATAGTTAGTTATCAAACTCTTCCATAGTTCGTATTAGGTCATTTTTTAATTGCTACTCTTAATGAAAGCCAGTTAATTATTAAAAAAAAAAAAGGTACTTTAAAGAAAGAAATGTGTAACATTAAGCATTTAAAGGATGTTAAGTGACATCAATGAGGATAAAACCTAAGTTTTTTAATGCTCAGTTACATTAAAAAAATATGTAAATACTTTAAACAAAGTTCCGTGTAGTTATTGAATTATGTAACTAATAAGAAGAAAATAATCTAGATATACATAAAAATGAATGTATGTTTGCCTGTGTGTCTGTCTGTTTGTCCTTTATGCATTACTAAGCCATTCATCCGATCGCCATGAAACTTTGGGAAGTTGTTCCATACACTCCAGCGAAGGTTTCTGGCATAGTACTTCTGTCAAACGATAATTTTATATGTATACAAAAATTAAAATGTAAATGTTTTTTTGTTCAAAGCCACTATTCTCCGAAAGTTCTTCACAGATTGCTTTGAAAATTTGACACAGATTTGCAATCGAATTCAGAAGTGTTTTTGAACATTTTATTACCATCGAGCCTTTCGTTTCGAAATGGCGGCCGAAAAACGTGTCGCTATAAACTCACTCTGATGATTAAAAATGTTTAAGTTGAATCATGAAAAAATTAGAATTAGTTTAAATTGAAGCCATGTTACAAACAAATTTGTTTCCCAACTTTTTTAAAATGGCAGATGTCCTTTGGTATTAATCCACTCATATGTTATTTCCTTTCTTTTCCATTTTGTCAGGCTAAGCCACAGCAGCGCGTGTCCAGGCAAAGCTAGTTATGAATATAAATCACTTACAGCTTTGAGTAAAAATTAATTTTCAACAAATATTGGATCTTTACAACAAAAACATTTGGAACTGGTGTATTTTTTGGTGCTTTTCAGACGTTTTACGAAATCGTATAAACTTTTTTGTGGATATTTAAAAGTTTCGAAATTTCCTAAAAAGCAAAGTAAAAATCGTTAAACTCGGAAAATTTGGAGAAAATATATGGTCTCTAGATGTTATTAATGTGTTCGACTTCAAAGGTTATATCCTTTGTTTTGGATTTTGATTTTTGAATGTGTTACCGAAGTAATGCTAATTTTTTGTTAGCAAATTGTTAGTGATGACAAAAAAAAATGTTTAGTCAAATAATTGGAATCACCTTTTATTTCTTTGTCACTAGGAAGGTAATGTTACTATAGATGTATAATTGTTTAGAAATGATAAACAATTGTGAAATAATTTGCAGCGTTGTTTTTTTATTTAAATCTAAAATTATAGTTTTTATTTTTATTATTTTTTTTTTTTAGAATGGATTATTTGTTTATTGATAAATATTAAAATCTGTCTCAATAAAGGACATTTATAATAGAGTTCTGAGAGCACATTCACACCATATTTACAAATTAAAAAAAAAATAAATAAATAAGCTAATTTCAAATAATATAAAGCTATAAAAGAACAAAATAAAATATCATAGTGAAGGACTAAAATATAAATAATAGTAATAATATAATAAAAATAAATGAATAAAATAGAATTAAAATTATCTTTAACAAAAAAAAGTAATGAAAATAAATATCTTAGATGCAGGCATATTTACACTATTTACAGTCGGCCATGGGAACTCCGAACTATACTTATTCCCCCACATGTGGAGGGAAAGCGAGGCTTCAGGAGATCCCTGCGCTTCTTCCTCAACCACTTCACTGGTATCAAAAGCCAGCGGAGATTGAGTAAGGGCGGTACAATTTTTATTTTTAAATTAAAATATCGAGGGGGCGATATCAACAGTCGATAATATTGATCGACTGTTCAATCGATAATATCGATACTATTGTTGGTAAAATATCTAATATCGCAAAAAATATCGATATTTCGATATCTAATATCGATGGTCATCTCCACCAACATGTAAGTTTTTCGCCGTTCCTGAAAAACTTAATAATTATTGAAGTTCACTTGACTCATATGTAAACACAATTCAATTGTAAGGAGGGATTAGAAATATTAATATAAACAGACAAGCTTTTAAAAACTGATATTACTCATAGGATGGCCTGATAAATGCGTATGCATATACGGGGATATATGCTTCCCGATATTCAAGAATATAATATGAGATTATTTCTCGTTAAAAAAACCATTAGAGCAATATCCAAACATCCTAATTTCAAAAATCTCTAGACAAAGATTAAATAAAATTTTGCTAATGAATATAATGTGACGACAATATAATGTATTTTACCCATTCCCTTAGAGTATTTTCTGTCAGAAAGGAATTTAATTTAAGTGAGACTCTGACCTTTGGAGTCCATCAATAACGAGCAATTCAAGAGGTGAGTTGCCCTTAGGTGTAAGTGCAAACAGTTTATAAATAGCACACAACTTCGATCTAAGCCTCAGTTTATTTACGAAAAGTCTCTTTATTGAGGCGTTTTCAATCTGAAGATCGCCAAACTTTATATATTTAATTAGGCGCTAAAAACTAGTAAATAATCATTTGTGCTCCTTTTGGATCGTGAAATAATTTAATAGAATCGATAAAAAAGGTGACCTACAAAAATATTAGCCCGTTTGGCCTATATAACCTTGTTATTTTGACAATTTAGAAGTGTAGGTCACGCCAAACGGGTCAATATTTTTTAAAGCCACGTTTTTTCTCGACTTTGTGCTCAAGTTATCTTACGATCCAAGTAGAAAGCGAATGGGTATTTACGAGTTTTTTGTATATAATTAAATAGACAAACTTTGCCGACCTCCAGATTCAAAACGATCCAATTCCAAGAATTTTTGTAAATAAAATATTTGTAGATTGCGATGAAATGAAGCTATTTACGAAGTTTTAGGCGGATGATAATAATTCGATAAAAAGGGGTCTGTACTACGTACTAACATATTACTTAAGTTGAGATTTATATCATTCTACACCTTTGTGTATTCCCATTTACTGATTGTATTTTTATTTCAATATATCCTCCCATACGTCTGAAAAGAAGATGGCCTCGAGATCTCCTTTTGTGAATACATTTTTAGAGTGCTATCAGTGGGTAGTTTCTTAATAAGTGGATTCATGTTATTTTTTTTCTTTTGTCCACATTTACTGAATGTATTTTTACTTGTAATACAGTCTTAAATATCATCAATAAAAAAAAAAATTCAATATAAATGTAAATTTCAGGAACAAGTTTTTTTTTTTTTAATCTATTAATTGAATAATAATACAATCAGCAACTGCTGGAGGGCTATAAGTATTAGGGCTAAGAGTTCTCATTTATACAATATATACAAATAATAAAGAAATAAATATAAATATAAGAAGTAAATAAATAATACTGATGAAGAAAGTAAATAAAAGAAAAAAAAAAGTAAACAGTAACATAAAATAGAAACTTCTAAACACAATCATACCTATATACAATATATACATTGGCCCAGGAATCTCCGAGCTAGGCTTTTTCCCCCACATGTGGAAGGCAAAGCAAGACTCCAGGAGATCCCAGTGCCACTTTTCCAGCTGCATCACTAGTATTAGAAGCCAGTGGAAACTGAAAGAGGGCACTAGAGCCACAGACGCTCAGGACATGAGTGGAGAAGCTGGCCATTGCCAGGACTCCAGAAGCATATTTACAAGAGATCTCTGGGCCACTGCCGTTTTAACCTTCGTGGAGGATTGTAGGTATGAAGGGAGCTGGATAGGGATTGAGCTAGAGGATTTGGATGATGGATAAGGTTCTGGTGAAAGTTTGAGAATCTGGATGGGATGTTAAGGTCATGGTGTACGGTCTTATTTGTGACATAATATGGGGCATTGACTATTGTTCTAAGTACTTTGAACTGGAAGGATTGGATGCGTTTGATATTCGAATGTTTAGCAGTTCCCCACAGTTCAAGTCCTTAGGTCCAGATAGGTTTCAGCATGGTCTTGTGGATTAAAAGTTTATTTTCAATCGAAAGATGAAATGTCCTACTTAGTAATCTATACAGCTGGCCATATCGTCGGTTAAGTTCTTGTCTTTTAAGTCTGGTATGTGGGTTCCAAGTTAGTCTTTTGGCAGGAATAAAATAAATAAAAAAGTGCTACACTACAATATGTTACAATATATAATATTTATTTTACTTTAATGCATATAGTTTTTTCTATTTCAATTAATTGTAAATATAAATTCATATTCTCAAAAAATAAAGGAAATTAAATTCGGACTTATTCAGATATTATAGTAAATCTAAGTGTTATAAATTAATATCATTTATTAACTAAAAAACCTATTCAAAAAAGCAATTATATCAGGTCCTATATTTTTTTCAAGAATTTCAGGATAGAACAGTTCGTCGGCATATCCTTCCTTTCCTTCGGTGGCTGCTATCTTTTCGACATCGCGTAGTTCTTCCAACTTCTCTAATTTTAACAACTTAGGGTGCCAGGCGAGGAAAAGTATTAATCCCATAAAAGAGAACTTCTCCATACCATCTTTGATTTCCTCTAAGTCGGGTTTGTTTCCTTGGAAATTATACTTGTCCAAGGTGTTTACCAGAGAGTTATGGTACGTCTTTAATATGAGATCGAAGTTCTCTCGTCGAACAAAAGGATCAACGGCCATATACAACATGTAAGTCAAGTCAACGCATGGAGATCCGTAATACACTAGTTGAAAGTCAACAAATCTTAAAAAAAGAAAAAAATATTCATATAAGGAATAAAAGTAAAATCCATTTTATAAATAAGTATTATAATAAAGTTAGGAGTAAGAAATTGGAAAACGAAGTAATCAAATATGACTTGATTAGTTAGTTGTTAGTAGGATGTTGAAGTTAACCAAACAAACTTTGGTAAACATTTCGAATTAGTAAATTTTGCAACTTTACAACGTTGCAAAACACAAAATTGAATAAAGGAAGGAGATGGTCCGGGGTGGCGGTCATAAATAGTTTTAAAATTATTTAAAGCCAACGTTTCGACCCGACTTTGCAGTTCTTCTTCAGGGTTTTTGCAGGTGTGTTCAGCCAGGAGTTTCACTTAGACTCCTAGCTGAACACACTTCTCTGAAGAAGACCTGCAAAGTCGGTTCGAAACGTTGGCTTTTAATAAAATAATTTTGCCACTATTTAGCCTATTTATGACCGCCATCCGGGACCATCTTCTTCCTTTATAATGCAATCGTCAACTATTAAATATTCAACAAAATTGAATACTTTACACTATTTATTGCAAAAATTTAAAAGCTTAAAACAGCCTTTTAAAGTTCCTAGATGTTTCAAAGTGAATGCATTACATTTGTTTAGTAATAGAAAAATAAGAGTTAATCAAAACAAAAACTAATATTATAAGATATAATTAATTATATAATAATATAATATAATATTATAAGAACATTGAGAATTGAGAGGCCAACATCTAGTCAAGAGAGAGATATAACAACATTGCATGACTGCTCAGCTGTGTTTAGTTGCTAAATAACATAATTATACTCATCTATCAATAGATAATACTTTATAAAAAATATCTGGTGCGGTGCAGCCATCACATACCTTTCACTTACCACTCTCTTCTTAGCAGACAAATAAGTCATCTTTCACTTATGTAAAAAATACATTTGAAGGAAATTGGAAAACAAAGTAATAAAATATGACTTGATTAATTATTTGTTAGTAGGATGTTGAAGTTAACCAAACAAACGTTGGTAGACATTTGGAATTTGTAAATTTTGCAACAATACAAAGTTGCAAAACACAAAATTGAATACTTAACATTATTTATTGCTTAAAAATTTAAAAGCTTAAAACAGCCTTTTCCAGTTAAAAGATGTTGCAAAGTGAATGCATTACATTTGTTTAATAATAGAAAAATAAATTAGACAAAACAAAAACTAATATTATAAATAAACATTGAGAATTGAGAGTCTATCATTTAGTCAAGAGAGATATACAACAACATTGCTTCTCAACTGTGTTTAGTTGCTAAGTAACACAGCATACTCATCAATCAAAAGATACGTAAATATGATGATTTAAAGTAAAATCCATGTCATAATTAATAGTTATAATTAAATTTATGTGTAGGAAATTAAAAAACAGAATACTCTAATCTGACTTGACTCGAACTTAACACAAAATTGCATGTTTTACAATACTTATTAGAAACAAATTTAAACTCAGAGCTAACAGTTACCGCATTGAATTTGTTATCAACATTGTTGATAATAACAAAATAAGAATTATTCGATAAAATATATTTATTTATTCTTGGCGCTACGGTCCTGTCAGAACCTGGGTTTCTCGCCACTCTCCTCTATCCCGAGCTAGCTTTCTCCATTATTCTGTGGGCCAGACCCCCTTACCGTGCACCCCCCCACATCCCTATAAATTGCATATCGTTGTGTTCCTTGTAACTATTTATTAAAAAAAAAGCCAATGTTCCCACAAAAAAAAGTGAACGCACTGCCCCAAAATGGCGTCCAAAGATAGCGGATTGACGACTTTGACTTTAGTTAGTTTTTTGGTCACTGAGAATCAGCATTTGGCTTAATTTCCTCATAATTGGTCTTTTATTAAAGCTGAATAGTCATAAAATAATAAAACATGAAGAACTATTAAAAAATAATTGCCTTAGGCTACGAAAAACACCAGTAAAGTCAATGTTTTTAACAAAAAAATTTTCAAGTTACAAATCAAGCATCGTTTGTAATTAAACGGCCTACAATAACGCAAAACGTGCTGAAATAAAACATCTAGAGAATATATTTTTCTTTCTAAAACGCTGATTATTTTTTTAAAAATTTTAAGCAGTTCCATTGAAAATGCACTTGCGGCAGAAAAGCGGTACTGGCGTGAGTACCTACAGGCATCTACCACACCATTCTGTACACATAAATGGCTTAGTTATAGTGATATAACAACATTTTTGGTACATTATATTGGTTTTCTTAACGAACAAATATTAATGCAATAATTTATTTGTAAAAAAATATTTTAATTAAAAAAAAATTTATTATTATTTTTTTTAAATTTAACATCCTTTATTCTATACGTAGGTCGTTTAAGAAGACCTCAATTGTAAAAATGATTAATTATAATAATAAAACTTAATTAAAAAATAATTTGCTAAATATCTTGATTTTTTTTTATTTAACGTTTGCAATTTAACACTGTGTTTTGTATATTTACTGATGCTTAGAGGTAATTAAAATTTGTATATACTTCCCAGGAAATGAGTCATATTAATACCTTTTTTATAAATTAAAATAATATATACCTAATCTGAACTATATAATGAATAGCTACCGGGTTGTTTAGTAAAACTCATATATCAATAATTAAAAAATTAATTTTTATTTCCTTTATTTTGTGCAGAAGTTGCACTATATCATAAATAAATAGGAAATTTTAATATTGAATGAATTATTCTCTATGCACAAAGAAAGATAGAAAGGGTGACGCTATAAATTCTTCTATAAACCAGAACTGATTGTTTGGATTTGGTCTCAAAATGAGGAAAAACGAGAAATTGAACCAGAAAATTGGAAAAATACATTAAGCGAACAAAAAAGGAAGTGCCAAAACCTCGGAAAAGATAAAAAGGTCCAGTAACCATTATATAGCTAAATGAATGTATAGTAGACAGATGAACAGAATATTTCAAGATGCTGCTAAAAGGAGGTCAATTGCAGTTTGGATGATAGTAAGTGGAGGATATAGGTTTATTCTGGTGAAAACCACTTTACTTTCGATTGCTGAAGGTGCACATCGGGACTATCTTCACTTTGAAGCAGGATATAGAGAGGTATATCGAGAAAGTTTTAGCTCATAGCTCTCCTTCTGTTTAGTGCATTTGTAAAAGATTTTTTAAGGAATTTAAAAGGAAACGAGCTTTTCAGAAACACAATTAGATATTAGCATAATCCAAAGTGTGACGCACTAAGCAGATAGAGAGCTATTTTTCTTTTATATGGATAATATAAATTATAGACTATGATTTATTTAACTGATGTAGACGGCGAACCTCATAGCAATAGGCCTTTTATCCCAACCATATTTGATAAGAATGTTATTTTTGTGGCAATCTCCATGGTTTATAACATTAAATTTAGTTTCGTCTAACTCGCTAAATTTTTTAAACCTTTCATAGACTTCTGTTCTGGTAATTTTTATTTTTTCTACAATTGGTGTCCTAAAACAAACGAGTATAATTATAAATAAAATATATTAAAGTGATGCATCGAATATGTTAATATAAGAGAAGGATGGTTGAGGTTGAGGTGCTTGTCGGTTAGGAGGCCTGGACGAAACCTCCCTTGTTATCTAATGTTATAAAACAGTGCATGTTTGCAGGATCTTGAAAATGTCTCCTGAAGCCGAAACGTCCCATAAACAATAAATGATGTAAAAACTGTGTACATTTGGTAGTGTTGATCAAAATCAGTCATTGTATTTTGCAAGACCAAGACTAAGGCCGCCTTACTGTTGCAAGACGAAGACCAGGACTGGTAAAAAAAAAATCGATTTTTTAAATAAAAATTAAGGCAAAATAGTTACTGATACTTGACAATCTTAGTTACTATATGAAAATAATTGATATAACCAATATACTTTTGCATTTAACTCCTCGAATTTTTCATTCGGGCTTAGTTAGGTTTCTCCTATCTAAAAAATTACAGTACTATCTCTATAATAATAAGCTAATAAGTAACTGCAAGACTGTTGCGAGACTCCTGCACAAGACCAAGACCACGAATAAGACTGAGTTTGCAAGACCAAGACCACGAATAAGACTGAGTTTGCAAGACCAAGACTCCTCTCGGTCTCGCATTTGGGCAACACTAACATTTGGTACCCTTTGGCCTAATATTTTATAACAAACTTTTAATAATTGCCGCCGAACTTAAAATGTATTTATAATCTTGAAATAAAAAAATCAAGTTCTAAAATCTTTATAAAAATAGGTAAATACAAAATAGTTCAGTGCCTCTTTCTCCTGTGTTTCTCAACCGATTTTATTTTTTGTTTCGTTGTAATTGACGAACTTTAGCTTTATCAATAAAAGTTTTTTGGAAACAGTATAAATTTAAATGTATATATTATTTTGTTAAAAAATTTGTTAGAACATTGAAATCAAATTCAGGAGTGTTTTTATATACATTTCAATACTAACCGGTCTTTCATTTTAAAATGACAACCGAACAACATGTGTAACTACAGACTATGGCACCAAAACAGCTGTAACGATTTTAATAAAGCTAAATTCTTCTCAACATTAATAACCAAAAAGCGAAAAAAATTAACGATGGATTCGAAATTATATTTGTAGTAATAATAATTACTCAAAAAGGACACAAATGGTACTGTAATATTATGACCACTGTAATATTAGTATGTAAATATATATAAAATTATGTACGAATGTATAAGAGTATAAAAAAAAATGTTGAAAACATTCAAATTTGTTTATGATTTTCTCAATTTTTTAATAATAATTATGGTCGAATTTCGACCAATAAGCGAACACTAATAGTAATAAATTTAATTTTTTTTTATTGATGAAATTTACAACTGTATTACAAATAAAAATACATTCAGTAAATGTGAACAAAAGAATATAATGACATGAAATCACTTATTGAGAAACTACCCACTGGTAGCACTCTAAAAATGTATGTACAAAAGGAGATCTCGAGGCCATCTTCTTTTCAGACGCCTCGGAGGGTTGTCAGGGATCGAAGAGGAAACAAGGTAAGAAACGAGAGGGTTGGGATGATTCTGAAGTTTATTATGGAAGGATAGGTATCTGGATTGGGCCAGATCTGAAACATAAGGAACATTGAGATCGTTATGGATGATTTTATTTGTGACAAAGTAAGGAGCAGCGAGGCTTTTACGAAGGATTTTGGATTGTAAGGATTGGATGCGAGAGGGCTTAGTGGAGCACTAATGGCTTAGTAGAGCCCCAGAGCTCAACTCTGTAAATTCAAATAGGTCTTACTGTAGTCATGTATATCAGTCTTTTGTAATTGACTGGGAGCTTAGAGCGTTTGTCTAGTAAGTGCTGGAGTAGTCGGAAACGTCGAGCTGTTTCTTATCGTTTCAGTCTGGTATGAGGATTCCAAGTTAGACGTTTGTCTAAGTGGAGTCCAAGGAATTTGTTCAACACGGATAAGTGGGGTATTATTAAAGGATACTGTAGGACAGGAGGACAGAGGTAAATTTATTATTAATCTGATAAATTATTTATAATTATTATTGGTAATTATACCAAATAAAGTAATATGTACTTTGTATGTGCTAAAAAAATTATTCTGTTGTTGATGTTACAGAGTATGATAAACAGGTGTTACAGCGATAAATAAGAAAAATACGACATTATCTTCAAAATATCCAAAGAAGGCAAAACTGTTGCTAATGATTCATTTCAACTCACTGCAAGATTATTTGCTGAGTCATATCAGATCTTGAAAATTCAATTGTGTGTCAAGTGAGTGATTACAATAACAAGAGTACTACAAGTAATCACTTAACTTTGTGCAGGTGCGACTCAATTCTGAATAGAGTAAAATGATGTAAACAAAAATAGGTGTTAAGAAATTCTGCAAATGACACAATGCTACGTTAAAAATTCTGAGGGAAATCCTAAGTATTCTCTGGAATAATGTGTATTACGGTGTCAACTGGTGATTTTCTTAGCCTCCAAGTAAAGGATCAAATTGATTAAAGAAATTCCGGTGATGTATTAATTAATGTTAAGTTTTGATTGCAATAATTCCAACCTCACAGTCTTATGCCTCCAAAATGCAGTCAAAGAATAAAAAGAACGTCAGCCTTTTGCACCAACAGTAGCTATGTCAGTATTAATTACTACAAATCACAGATAACTTTCACTTACCACTACTTTCAGTGGATATTATTTTTTAAAAAAGATAATGAACCTTTAAAAAAAAGATCTTTCAATTTAGGAAGAATCTCTATGCCTCAGTTGTGGAGTTCCAAACGGTTTTCCTAAATGTTTTAGTTGAAATTATTTCATATTTAATTGTATAGATTACAGCGATATAAATATTAAAATTTTTATATATAAGATTACTTAAAAAAAATAAAAATATCCACAATGAAATACAAATCAGTATAGCCTTTATAATTTTTACTTTCACTTCCCCTTTGTCTGAAAATACTTATTTCTGCTAAGAGGATGGTAAGTGAAAGTTGTGTGATCACCGTACCAAATTTCTTTTTATTGTTTGTAGTTATAGAAAAAATAAATGTTTTGCCAGGTTTGTTTTTTCAATGTTATTCTTATTACATGATTGCTTTCCTTTTTTTTTTTTCACATCTTTTATTTAAGCTTCATTCTATGTTTTCATATAAAACTGCTTGAGGGTTGTATCTTAATTTTGAAAAAAAAAAATCACAAACGGTTAAGTTAAAGTAAAAAATGTAATAAACTTACCAGCTCGGATCCCACAATCTTTTGACGCCTTCTGTCAGACCTATTAAGTCCCAACACAAATAATTATGCATTCTTTCTCTTTTGAAGAGGTACCAAGATTTGAACTCTTGCGGAATTATTCCTCTTACTTGATGTGTTTTGCACATCCCATGAAACCTTCCTAGGGAATGCACTGCTAACAAAACGTGATCCAAGTCGAAAAATTGGTCAATTTCGATCATATGAAACCCTTTGGCCTGTAAAGTAAACAACAATTACTTTTTGAATACTTAGTTACCTTTGAAGTGTTATGGTACAATATATTTATGATCAGAACCTTTAAATCCTCCAGTACGACACAGCTGTAGGGAATATGGTGGACCATTTTGCACCAAAGTACATCTTCGCCATCTTCAAATTCTTCCATTAGGTATTCGATTTTAGAAAGAGTATCGTACATCTGAAACATAATAATATAATAATAAACGACTTTATTACAACGGAAATCCATTACGAAAAATGTGAGAAAAGTTTTTATTTTTTTAACTTGCATATATGGGTTTAGACATGTAAAAAACAAAATTGCTAACGCAGGCCACCAAGGGAAAAGTTTTTACAGCCAAAAAAGTCAGATTTTTTCGATATTTATTGAGTTTTTACACCTATAACTCGTAAACGATGCATTCAAAGCAAGAAAATGTATTACTTAATATATTAAAGACCGTTAAATTTTGCGTCGAACGAGTACATAAACTTTATAATTTAATTATACAGTAAGGTATAAAATCGCGGTCAATCAATGCAATTTTTACCCAATTAGTCGAAAACTGAGACAAATTACTATTAATGCCCCTGCAACTTGGAAATGAGTTCAAATTTCTAACTACCTGGTCTAATATTCTCTAAAGCAGCCGCTAGAACGGACAAGATACAGAATTGTGGCAGTTACATAACATTTAGACAAAATTTATAAACAATGTGAATAAGCTAATTGAAATTATAAACACTAAGTACATTAAAATATGAACAAAGTAAGCTAAGTAACAAGATCCTAAAATGAAGTAAATAGATGTTAACAATTGTTGTAGTGTGATATATAATAAATGCAAATGTCAATATACTTCTACAGATCTACAGGAGAGATTGAAAGAAAAGGAAAAAGAATATAATATGAAATAATAGACATAAAGGGACGTGGAGAAAGAAAAGAAAGGAAACCAAAAATTAAATAAATAGGTAATAAAATGGGAGAATGAAATTAGAGACTTACAGGTGTGTTCAGCTACGAGTTTATCTTAGAACTGGAAAACCAGGGGTAATGGCAGGTATAGGGGAAGCTGACTTGTTTGGATAATGGGGAAAAACCTCGTAAATTACAGTATCTAAAATTTGAAAGTATGGATGGATACAATGGAAAGTTTTTCATTTTTTACTTCACAAGTAAAGTGCTCCCGGTCATATAGCACGTACCGGGTACACGGGTCATATATCATGTACCGGCCCCCCTAAAATATTTTAAAATTTTTTAACGAATAATTACCAACCAGGATTTCTGTCTTGAAGGTGTTGTATTTTCTGTAGAATTCTGACTGAACCTCATTGGACTCTGTGAACAATTTGATAATGAGACTCTTGTTGACAACCTTGCCATCGCGGAGGAGTACTTTCATGTTGAGTCTGCTGACGGTTGACAAAAAGCTGATATTCTTCCCGACGGCTGGGACATTTTCTACGCTTATAACCTTCTCCAAACTAGTCTCTCCACAGTTCCTCTTCAGGACGCTCTCCAAGATATCCTTATCCATCTGAAAACAATATTGTGCATGTATTGTCATTTCTCTATATATATTTAGCTAACTCAAACAGTTGGCTAGGCTTCAATATTTGGACATTGGTAAGTCGATGGATTAAGACAAGGCAAACTGGGATTAGAAGTAATGAGGTGAACTGTAAGACCCATTTAGTTCGCTAGAAACTAGTGGGCCCTACGTTTTAGATCCCCAAAAATTTATACAATTTTAGGTTTTATTCAAAAAGATAAATTATAAGGTATTGTTTGTTCTTTTCCAAACGTTACTGACAAGGCAGTTATTTTCAGTAAATTTAAATTGATTTTTCCTCTGAATTCGTAGAAAAAAAAGTTTGGTACTTCTTGTCTAAGCGCCCGTTTTGAAACCTCACTTCTTATCTATCTTATCTAACGTCACGTCACATAACCTCCCTCTTCTTATCCCGCCAAACCTTTGAGTTATTGCATTGTTTAGTTTTCAGTTATTCCCTTATTATGTCCACTTATTAAATTGTTTACTTTTGGTCCGTTTGTGTTTATTTTTAGTTTTTGGCGTGTTCACAGAGAAGAGGACCCGTTCCTCGCTATTTTGAACAGCATAAAACAATTTTGCCTTCCAAAATAAATAAGACAAAAGGAAGTGAATAATTAACTTAAAATAATTTGTATATATGTTGTTTAAGACCACTTGGTCTAGAAGTCAACGAGAGGAAAACTAAGTATATGAGAGTTGGTGGTGAGGTGGATCTGAACTCTCCATTTGAGGTAGGTTCTTTTAAGTTTGAGAGAGTGAAAAGTTTTATATACCTTGGGTCTGAAATTAATAACAAAAATGACATGGCTCAAGAAATACAGAGAAGGACCACGGCTGCCAATAGATGTGTCTTTGGACTTGGCCGTACTTGGAAATATGGAAAGTATTGTAAGGCAATAAAATATGAAATTATACTAATAAATCGTGAAGAATTTGGTAATTATTTACGAACGGTCCTCCTCTCGCCATCTTGGCTGAAGTGATGTTATGTCCCGTGTTCTGATAACGTTTACCAAATCTAGCACCAGAAAGCGCCACTATTGCGGAGGGGTTGTCTTGTCCCCTCCACCTTACCTCTGTTTTCAGTAAATATAAAAATTAGATCGTTTAGGTTATATATTACCCGCCTTTTTTTAAATTAACCATTCCTTACCCACCATTAAATAAGCATCGATTGAACACCCATTTCCATCTTATCCACATAATATTTTTATGCTTATACTTTTTATATATCCACATAATATATTTATGCTTATACTTTTTAGATATATTCTGTCACATTTTCAGTCTAATGTGCAGCATACTGTCTTAAACAATTAGTTAAACATTAAACAACTTCATTAACTTAAATTTTTAAATATTTGATGGTTGATCATTGTATATTTTAGATATTTAGATTGTATATATTCAATTTTTAAATACTTTATGCTTGACCATGCTATATTTTAGATTGTATGTACTAAAAAATTTACAATTTTCTTTAAGTGTTTTAATGCTGGATAAGGGTTATGTTTTTCATTTATATGTTACTTAAATCTTCTAGCAATAAAACACATTTTCAGTCTACTGAGGTACATACTGGCATTACCAGATTCTAAGGGAAATGTTTCAGGATCATGTAGGAGAGCTCTAGCGATTCATTTAATTTAAAATAATCAAAGAAGAAAACACTACTGACATTCCTTTAAATCTGAACTTGTCAGCAACATAACGAGTTCTTAGCGATTGGTCCCTTGTATATTCCTCCTGGAACCGTACATTTTCTACATAATTAACTATGCCAATCATCATATCTGTATGATAGACAAGTATCTTAGCAACCTGTATATATATATAAAACGCAATGCTCCAAGAGGTATTTAGTTAAGCAGTAATCTTTTTCAAACATTAGCTAAATTATGTCAACTTGAGCCTGTAACATTTATAACAGATGCTTTTGAATATATTTTTACCTATGCATCTCAATTATTCACATTTGGTTATTATAATTTCTAAATTGTCTTAATCTCCAATCCAATTTAAATTATCTGACCAGTTATCCCTAGCCATTTCCATTGCTGTCTACTTACATTATCTGTATCTACTTTTAGATAGATATATAGAATAAAAAACTTTATTCTGGGACTAAGTCCCTTCAGAATAACAATAATGTACAAAATAATAGGATATTACTGGTCTAAACGTTTGAAACAATAAATAAAATTGATAAAATAAAATAAAAAGTAAAGAAAACCTTAGGTGCGCAAGCTATATACAATACAGATAAAACTATGTACAGAGCATTTAAAATTATAAACAAAACAATTAAAACTATGAACATATCACTTGAACTATAAACAAAACTATAAAGTTAGAATGTGTTCATTTCATAAAAAAATAAAATTTTACTTGAATATACATACAAAAATAAACAGTTAATTATAATTGAATAAATAAAAGAAATGTATGTATTGAAATTCCTATGTCGATAGTATGAAATGCATGAACTATCTCTTATCAAGTATTATGATTATATGATTGCTACACAATACATATATAGTATTAATAGTTAGCTGGTATCTGACTGTTTTTGGAACAGGAATTGGAATATGAGGTTTTTGAATGTGTATAGGGGAGGGGCATGTCGAATTTTGATCAGGAGGGAATTCCAAAAGTTGACAGAGCGGGCTATAAAGGAATTTTGGAATGAGGCAGATCTATGAGAAGGGATGTATAGGTCAGAGGGTAGAGATCTTGTGAGGGAATAGATTGAGGACTTAAATTGGAGAAGGTTGTAGGCGTAAGAAGGACCGGTAATGATTTCATAAAGAAAAGTGCCTAGGAGGAAATATTGTCTTCTTAAGGAGGGGAAGAGCCAACCTAACTCAGTGTAGTGCATAACTTATTTATAAAGTGCATTTCAATTTTTTTCTTCCAAAGGAAGTGTCTTGTGTGTTAATTAGATATTTTTAATTGAATATTTTATTCACGAATAACTGTCCGTATAAAATAAATATATTTGTTTGCACAAAAGAATAAGATATTCTAGGTTACTTTTCCTTGGTCAATTTGATCATTACTGGTGGTAATTTATCCTTATTTGGACAATAAGTCATTCTCGATAGTTAAATTATTTACAGTCTTGAAATACATATAGGGAAACCTTAGGAAGAAATTAATAAACTCATTAAACAATGTCTGGAAAGTTTGAGGCTGGAAGCCAAAACATGAGATGAAGTAAAACCTAAATCTTTCATAGGTCTATACTTCATTTATATAACTAAGGGACATTTTACATTTTATGAAGAAGAAGGTAATGAGTTACGTCTGGCGGAATACACATGATGAAGATAACTTACACTTTCTTGCCTAATAAATCATTCTGACAGGATTCAGAAAAATTAATGAGACAATACAATATAAAAGTAGATACAGATAATGTAAGTAGACAGCAATGGAAATGGCTAGGGATAACTGGTCATCTGGTATTGCCAGTATGTACCTGAGTAGACTGAAAATGTGTTTTATTGCTAGAAGATTTAAGTAACATATAATTGATAAGTATAACCCTTATCCAGCATCAAAACCCTTATAGAAAATTGTTTAATTCTTCCTGAATTGTATTAATATTGGACATACTTAGATAATGTACAATTAGAGATAAAGTGTCACAATTAAAACAAAACTTAAGTTAATAAACTTCTTTCATTTATGATAAGGAAAGCGAAAAGCATTAATAATGCTGAATCTCGAAGCTAAAAAAACAAAAACGGGCAATATATAAACACTACAATTATAAATAATATTAGTAATATATAATGGTAAAAAAAATTGATGTAGGTAATATGTGTAAATAATAACATCTGAAATATAAAGTTTGGTTAATCGATATATTGAAGATACAAAGAAATCGACAAGTTAAAAAAAATGGTGGGCACTATATATTGTAAAGGTTACTATTGGTAATTATTTGTAATGAACGTAAGGTGGAGGGGACAAGACAACCCCTCCGCAATAGTGGCGCTTTCTGGTGCTAGATTTGGTAAACGTTATCAGAACACGGGACATAACATCACTTCAGCCAAGATGGCGAGAGGAGGACCGTTCGTAAATAATTACCAATAATTTATTATGGGTAATAAATATTCAGGACGCAGTCATTTTAAATTTTTCTTTATATTTTTTATTTTTATTTTTTTATTTCTTAATGACATTTACAACTGTAAATTTGGACATAATTGATATAATGACATGAATACACTTGCTGAGTAACTACCCAATGGTAGCACTCTAATGATATGACTACATTAGAAGATCGGCCCCATGATTATTTATTTATTTATATGATATTTACAACAAAAAATACATCTAGTAAATTCGCACATGGATATAATGAAATGAAACACATGTTGAGAAACTACCCATTGGTAGCACTCTAATAATATGCCTATATTAGGAGATCACGTGGCCATCTTCTTTTCAGACGCCTCGGAGGGTTATCAGGAATTGAAGAGGAAGCAAGGTTAGAAACGAGAGGGTTGGGATGATTCTGAAGTTTATTATGGAAGGACAGGTATCTGGATTGAGCTAAATCGGAAACATATGGTACATTAAGGTCATTATGGATGATTTTATTTGTGACAAAGTAGGGAGCATTAAGGATTTTGGATTGTAGGGATTGGATTTGAGGTTTAGTAGAGCCCCAAAGCCCGATCCCGTAAGTCCAAATAGGCCTTATTATAGTAATATATATGAGTCTTTTGTAAATAGTTGGCAGTTTAGAGCGTTTGTCTAGTAAGTGCTGGAGTAGTCGGAAACGTTGGGCGGTTTCTAGTCGTTTCAGTCTGGTATGGGTTTTTTTTATATTTAAAATTTTTTTATTATTTATTTAAAATGACTGTGTCATGAATATTTATCACTCATGATATATAGAAAAGTCGGCTAGCTTCCTTCAATAATTGGAAGAATTTATTGGTTTTATGCTCTCCTGTAAAAAGATAAATTTTTATCTACGACCTTTTGCACTAACAGTAGCAATATATATTTTTTTATCACGGATTATCAAATATGCAATTTTCAAATGTGGAA